CATTCCCTTCACTACAGGCTCAAAGCATGATTTGAGTTTATTGTTTTTTGTTAAATAAAGCACCCTTCTGAGATTTGTGATTGTTTTCACTCCACCCCTGTGACATGCCACAGTCGCTTAGCTGGGGATGTGAATTAGAATGTAATGGAATAGAATACGACAGCTTCAGAAACTTAGATGCTATTACATAAATTACGTCGTTGCCATGCCAACAGTGTAATAAAAATAAAAATTTGGTGAGTCCTGTCATTAATCAATCAGGGATATTGGGGTATTCCAGAGTGGCATGTAATAAACAAGTTTTTTACATGCCACTCAAATCTCCAAGGCTGATTACGATGCTCAATATCAACAAACTATGAGCTCAAGCTCATCATATATTCAAATGAATCAGTGGTGCTTTATCTCAAGTGCTATCTACATCCCTCGCCCACCACTTTTAACTCATCCCGACGCAAGCACACTTTCTCACAGAGAAGGCTCAACAGATCCAGCAATGACAAAAAAAAAATACTTGAATGAGGACCAAAACGAGAAAAAGAGGAATGTTAAGTGCTCATTAAAGTATCTACAGGGTGAGACAGACAGTGGGATCTCGACACTCTATGTGTTGCTGGAATCTGAGAGGGAGATAATTGGCCATTATGACAGTGGACGGCATGTCATTACCTTTTCATTAGCCGGCCGCCTCTCTTCCCTGGATTGCCCTGCACTAGTGAGCAAGAAAAAGACGCCATTAATGTAATGTGGAATTAAGAGATGCAAAGAAGAGCAGGACGAATAGGGCACACGCACTCTTCATACCCATCATTCTATCCTTAAATGGAGCCGAGCGCGCTAAAACAGAATGACACCAATACAAAATCTTCAACGATCAAATGAGAAGTGATGGAGACGCATTTTCGTGGGTGTATTTGTGTATTCATGAGAGTGTTTGTGTGCGTGCTCGCACATAGACACCATTACTGGCACATCGTTCTTTGAAAATGCTGTTTGATGGAGAGAAATGCAGCAGTACCCCTGGGAAATAGATAAAGAGGTGCAGAAACAGGTAAAGTTATGAGTGTTATGGGAAAGTTCAAAGGCAGGCTGCTATAGCATTGTCAAAACTCATCCACACATACTTGGATCATGAATGTCATGTCAATTTACAAAACACTACTAACTGAATGCGTTTCCACACCTCCTGCAACTGCCGTTAGAGGAGAAACATGGGAAAATGGGGCTCTGTTGCATAATGAATGCTTGCTCACTGCTCAAGATACACTCCATTCCATGAGGCCTAATAAAGCATAGATGGCTTTAATGGTGTTTATTTTAGTTATTAATATTTTTTTGTTCATCAATACAATATATACAATAATAAGAGTGATAGCTGCAGTAACAGTTGAGGAAGCAGCAGTAAATTGTTCAGATTTGCCTAATTATAACAGAATTTAACGACAGAAGTGGTTTGGTGACAAAATAAGGTTATATACAGCATTCTATAGAATGCCTAAGCAACATAATCTACTCTATCAGTAAAGGGGATATTTACATTGCTTAAACATTCTATAGAATGCCTGATTTCACACTTTGCCAGTTATTTTCTTTCATTTATTTTGTCAGGGGTTTTCTCCTTCCTACTAATATGGATATCAACAATGGACTTAAGAAAAAACACAACACATAAAGATATGGCCCTTTCTTCTAATCATAGTAACTGATTTACACTTAAATATGTTATATAGAAGGTTTAAACATTCTAAAGAGCAAGTCATGACCTATTCCCAATGGCAGATGTGATAATGAGAATGGCTGCTGATGCATCACTGGAGGTTCCATCTCCAATCAGATCTCCACCCACATTGTGTTCGCACATTCCCTGGAGCATCTCTCCAACATCTCTATAAATACATAAGTTATTAAAGCCCAATTTCTTTCTTTAGTTCATAGTTCTTATGGTTTGCTATTAGAGTAAGTACCAGCACCATTGAAGAGTGTGAGGAGCAGCATTAGCATGTTCAGATTTAATGGTCATCACAGAAGACGCTGAGACCAGATTACATTGAAAATCAAAGCTTGATTATAGATTCAGCTCGGACAGGAGGAGTGCAGCGTTTGGCTCACAGCTGAGATATAGTTGCCTTTAATTGGTCCCTGATGCTCACAAACAAAAAAAAGACAGGAAGTGTGAAAGAGACAAGGGAAAAGAGAAAAGCAAGTGGTCTCCAAACTAGAATAAAAGCAGAAAAAGAAGCCAGAAGGAAAAGTGTGGGAGAGCGTGCTTCCTCTGTTATGTTTTCTGGTGTAGCTCCTCGCAATCGATTCTTCCAGTCTATTACTTTTGACTCACTCTCACATGCTCAATCCCTTTTGTCTTCCCTCTTCATTTTTGGGTCTCTTGCTTTTCTTTTACAAAGATCACAGTATGGATGTTTGGGTGACATGTCAAAGTGAAAAGAGAGGGTGAAAAGAGAAACAAAGCAGATGACTAGGAGGGAATCAAATGTGTGACTACTGTATAGATGTCTGTTTTTGTGCTCCGCTACTTACTTTTGCAATGTTATTTTAACATTTAATACCTGAGATTTATCTTTGTATGAATATGAATATAAATATGAATATGCAATAAACCTAACCGCATGTCCCTTGAGGAAACCCGCGCAAGAACGGGGAGAACATGCCAACTCCTTCCAGGAAAGTCACCAGCAAGCCACGAACCGACAACCTTCAAACTGGCAGGCCACAGCCCTCACCACCATAATAGTAATTAAAAGTTTAAAATTTCCATCTATTTCAATGAACATGAGACCTCCCTAAGCACATACCAAAAATGAAGCAACAAATTAAACTTTAAATGAAATAAAACTAAAAAATAAACTAAATTAAATTGAATTTGAGGTTCAAGTGTACACAGACTTTAATAGTGGCTTGTAAAAGAACGTTGACGTTGGCTAAGAGTCATATCAACTTTTTTAACAGTTATTAATTAGTTTCTTGAGCTGAGATGATCAAATGATGTAATTTGAATGTTTCCGTTTCACTATGAGTGATACATATTTACCAAGTCCTATGTTCCTGGCATTTTCTGAAGTTATAGATCTGCTGCTTTGGTTGCTAGGGTAAAATGTTTAGTTGCTATGAAGGAGTCACTGACATAATATTATGTTCTTTTACTCAAAAAAAAAAGGTCATGTCTCTATTATTTTCCTAAGCTGAGACATGCCAAATTGGTTGCTATGGTAAACAGTGTGGTTACTATAAAAGGGTCTGTGACAATGTAATGTTCCCAATGTCGTTATGGGTATTTTTGGTTGCTAGGGTAAACAGTTTGGTTCCTAGGTTGTGGTCAGTAATGTTATAAAAATTAAGTTCTTACTATGTTGTTATGTTTGACAAGCCAACATAAAAACACAACTTATCAGTATATTTTATCCACAATGGATGTGTAAAAAGATCAATAAATATAACCACTAAAATGGTTTATTCTCCTTATTTTTGTGTTTTAGGAGCACTCCTTAAATTTGATTAAATGGTACATTCCTGGAAAGTTTGTTTTAAAAAAACTGAACTGAGACTAAAAGTAAAATAATATATTATTGCTGGTAAAATGGCCAAAAAGGTTTATAATTTAGACCACATTTTACCCTCATCATCCAAGCATTTATAAATATTTAATAAATCATTGGAAAATGGACTGGAAATATAAGCACAATGTAAAAAGGGACAGGTAATAAAAGTGTGTAGAGAACTTAATGATTTTTAATGTTGAATTTGATTAAACTATATCTTTTTTTTGTTTTGTTTTTTGTTTGTTTTAATGATCAAAGGGTCATATATTGATTGAGTCAAAAAATCTTCTCTAGTCTCCTGCAATAGCTCAGATGGGTTATATGAGTGCCTCTGAAACAAATCTTTAAGATTAATTTTATTACTTTCTCTGTTTCTTGAGGTTGTAATCAATTCAGCAGCTCATATTGGATTATTATGAGTCAATGAAAACGGAATATTAATATTCTTTGCTTGATTATTTTTCTGCTGATAAAAATCTATATCTCATTATTTAATGACAAATGAGTGCCTGGGTATTAAAAAAAACTTCATCCAGAATCAGATGAGGACTTTTTCCAGGTATGAAGTCATGATCAATAGAACAATATTCAATGAGCAGTGAGTGAGTCCTTAGACATTACGAGTGAATCAATCAAAGAATCATTTATTGCAGTCAATCCCTGAGCAGGAGCTCATCAACTGATACTAAATTACAGTGTGTAATTACTCCAAACCACAAGTTTGCATGCTAATTTCAGATAAAAAATGATCAATACATATAGAAATGCATATCCTGACTAGAATCACTTGAAGAGAGTTTATCATCATATAAAGTATTATCAATGTATTCAAGTATTTTTTAAGACAAACTTTTATCATGTCAAGATTTCAAGATTCAAGCATGGCCTCTTGACTTCTTCAGATATTAAAATGTATTAAAGCTTGAACATACCATCTAAGGTCAGAGACTCCTGGGGTAAAACAGGTGTAGAGCTGTTTATAAATGTAAAGAGTAATCTAACCCTGAAGCTCTCCTCCATTACCTTCCAGTCTTCTGATGAAACTCTCCCTAGCTCTTGCATGCTCACTGACTCTTCCAGCTCTTCCTGATGTGACAGCTGCACAGAAAAGACTGAGCTTCCACCGACGGCTGTTTGACATGGAAGGCAACCTCATCACTCAGTAGTAAAAACTCCTATAAAATATGCATGATAAGCTCTGCGGTGATACAGCCAGGTACAGCTAGGGAACAACACTAAAAGAACAGATTGCAGGCATATAAATGGAAACACTTTCTGGTGTTTTTTTTTTAGAAGAGCATTCATACACAGCTAAAAAGATGGGAATAAGTCCACTTCCAAAAAACACGACGCTGTTTGATGAAAACATTTCTGTAATGGGACGTAATGCATCTAATCAGATCTAAAACAGGATGTGAAGAATGATTAGGACACTTATGGTCAGCATCATTCCTGCGGCTCAGTTGGTAGAGTATTGTGCTTACAACGCAAAGGTCGTGGGTTCTAATATCAGGGATTAAAGGTGTTCATTCTTTCAAATGTAAGTTGATTTGGATATAAATGTAATACCAACTGATTCCTGGACAGGGCTCTCCATCTGTGGACAGGTTGCCAGACCATTTAAGGTTGACACTCACCGTCCCTCACATTCACTTCTAAGAGCAATTTGAAGTCTTTGATACAATTAATGTGTGGGGGGAAGCTAGATAACATAGAGGAATTCAGGAAGTTGACCCTCAGAGAGGCAGCAGTGCTTCCCAAAGTGCCAAATGTGGCACAATTTTAAAGGGGTCCACCGTGATTACTCAGAGAAAAAAAAACCCATGGAATACACTACCACTCTGAAATCTAACTCTAAAGATGGCAGTAGGGATACGCAGAAGATTAAAAAGATTTATAAATGGTTGTTCTAGGAACTTGGGTAAACGTATGAGTGTCAAGTTCCTCAAGGACTTTGACCAAACTGCCCGACCTTGAAAAAGGCCTTCACATCTTGAGAATTGAAAAAGTTTGTACTCAAAGCTCTGGTTTCCACAAGAATTGGTTTTATTTGTTACCGGGACATGCCAGGGCTCAGGTTATAAACCTAAACAAACAAACATGACAATAAATTTTACAAACAAACAAAGAAACAAAGAGCATCCACATATTTAAAAGTCTCTTTCCTACCAGTGGTCCTCCTCAAGCTGTGAGCTTTGGTCTCTCCTCTATTTGCTGCTGGATTTCTTTCTGCATTGTTTGGTTCCTTTCTTACAGACCAAAACCCTGATGCTCTTTAAAGAGACACCTGGTCACGCAGAGGTGTCACATGGGCACCAATAGCCAATCAACTTCTTCCTTTTAACCCAGATTGGTTTTACAATGAGAACACTAAACTTAATTTCTCTTGATGTTTTACAAGAATAACACAGAGGTCATGTTTTTTGTAACTGTAACAAACAGGAGAAGCGATGGGAGTTCATCCACCTTGTAATATCAACGCAACAAAGCTACCATTAGCACCATAGCACAGGGATTGCCTCTATTCCGGTTGAGAGTCCATTATGCAGAATCCATGGAGGACAGTCCCATTAGGAAGAATGGGTTGGAACTAGGTAAATATTCCATTGCTCAGGGGAGTAACGGAGGTGGTATCCACCACCTGGCAGGCAACATAGGAAGCACACTGGCTAACCAGCTGACGGTGGCAATCACACACTAATTAATTTTAGTCCTATGCACAGAGATTTCTTGTGAGTTGGTGGAGCACTGGCATGTAGGAGACTCGGAGGGAGTTTACACAATGTAACGTCCGGTATCCAGGAAAAGTCCAGGAACTTAGACAGGAGAAAGGGATTCACATAGACAAGAGAGATGGTGCTGGCAACACTGCCGACGGATCTCTGGGAGGTCAACCTTGACGACGGAACACAGGGTTTCTGGGAGGTTAAGTTTATGTAGATGATACAGCGATGATTCACAAATGAGTTAAGTGTCTACAGGTGATCACCATGAGGCAGGACAGTCCGGATCGGACAACAGGTATTTGCCAACTTTGTTTATTCTTCTGTCAATAATACTTTTTTTTTTTTAATTTTCTCTCTTTTTTTGCCAGACAAATGAGTACTAGACTAACACCGGCTTCCTCGATCAAAGGATGTTAGTCAGCTTATCTGTGCATTTATCAATGTTATAGTTTAGGTGGCCAGTCCATCATAGGGCAAGACCCGTGTTCACTCCTAAAAAAATTATGAGAATTCAATTAACGTGGTGCATGTTTTATAATCGGTACCCAGAGGTAACCGCCACAAGTGTGAGAACATGTAACTCCTCAGGAAGGCTACTGGCTGGCCTTGAACAAGTGACACTCTATTGCATATTGCCCACTGAGTCAGTTTCAAAGTAATTCTATTACTTAAAGTGGAAAGGTATGTCACAATTAAACCAGTTTAATCTAACCATCGTGTTTTGGATGTATCAACACTGAATAACAATAGGCTTTGACCTGAACCATTGGAATAATCCCGTATAAATCCACTTCAACCATTTATCATTGCTAGATTCCTTTGAGCACCGTGTGAATGGATACAATCTGAAGCCCATAACACTTACTATAGATTTGAAGCATGATTAGGCACCATTCATGTTGCTTCATGGATGGTGAGATTGCAATCACTTGTGTCACTCTCAAGCTGTGTTGCATGGTGTTTTGCAGAATGGGAGAAAGGGTAATATTCAGAAAGAATGTTGGTAATGATTTGCGTAATGCTGTCTGTATTTTTTGATGTCTTCTGGTGATTTTTGTCATTTCTGTTATTGTGCATGCTGAAGAGTCAATTTCTTGGCAGAAAACAGTCACATTCTGTCGTCTGTGCACTTAGCCATCATGGTTAAAATAAAGTATGATGGCGGTCTTTTAGCATTAACGTTCACATTCCCAATTTCACTTCTGAATGAATAGTAATTTGCTCTCATTTGCATCTAAATCACAGAACAGAATGGAATTATATGAGCAAGCGGAAGGAACAGGCTGCACATTTTCTCCATGCAGGAGACTCCAGCTTGCTGCTACTCACCTTGCTTTCCTTAATTGGAAAATAAAAGACTGCTCTGACCTCGGGTACACAGGCCAGACTGAGGTGCCTCTTCGGAGGGTCGTTTTTTTCATTTGTTAAAGCCAGATTATCATACTATAGTCATCCAATGCCTCACAGTGTGACCATGAAGCTCTTCTTTTTCAATCCTTCAGGGTTTTCTTTCACACAGATCAGAGGAGTGTGCGAAATAGACTAAATGTGGTAGGGGGAAGGGGAAATGTATAAAGAGAACCACATTTGGAATATTTAAATATAAAATGTAGTGAAAGGACAGATGGGGGAAGGAATGTGAGGTCTTAGAAGAGATGGAGATTGAAGTAAGTGGATTCATGGTAAACTGAAGAACAGGATAGCAGGCACAAAGCCCAACATATGGACCTTTCAAATCTATCTAAAAGCACCTTTAAGAAGACACACGGCTTATACTTCAAACCCAAAAGTTGGGAAGTTTGATTGTGAAGCTCTAGAGGCCCACAGCACCAATCGAATAGCAAACAACTAGCGCCATGAAAGCTAACCATCGACTAACTGACTTCTCTTGTCGGCTGCTTTTATGGCCGTCTAGAAAAACATTGAGTTTGAACAAACCAAGACGACTACAAAGTAGATGTAATGTAGATATACCTTTGCATATCTGGAAATTACCTGTATTTGCATTCCAAGGTGAAAAAAAGTCTTGAAACATCTTACGATTTTAATCTTACAGGTACGAGCACAGATTTTCTCGTGATTCAAGCATTTGATTGTGATTCCTAAACCCCTGTTAGTGAGTCAAAATTGGGGCTATAACGAGCAAAAAAAAATCTAGCATCCACCTTTCACATCTTAGCAATGGCGTCATGTGTAAACCATCTTTATAGTGCATTTTATTTTCTTTATATGAACAAGTCCTCAGCTAGCTTCATCATTCGTTTCCTAGCTGCAGCTCATTCTTTCACAGTGTATGCCGCAGTTTCTCCAACCATTCTCACGAGTTTAAGAAGCTTTAGTGGAACATTTCCAATCTCAGCTCCGGAAATCTAATCCAGACAATATTTGTAACCCACGCTGAAGTCAGAAAGGCAGAAAATTAACTACTTTTCATTGGAAGAAAAACCCCTGTGTATGGAGGAAAGTGTATGTTTCTAGCTGCCTCTGCGCTGTAAGTGTAAATGTTTTCCACAAAACACCTGGTACGTGCAGCTCTCCTGCTCTTTACAAGCAGTGAGTCACACAAGCATGAAGCAGCAGCAGATTTTTTACACTGACACAGCTGACCATCAAGATGCAGACGCAGCATGCACTCTGAATATGTGTGTAACTGTGTGTTAGAATAAAAAAAAAGACATACTGCTTTATCTGCTGCTCACGGAACATGGAGCACATTCCACGAGCGGCTTCTGGAACATATGTATGAAATGAGAACGAGAATAGCAATATATTCTATACTGACAGACTCATTATTTAAGATAAGGCAGGAGTATTAATGATATTCAAAAGTAGGTGAGAACACATGGTTAAGCTGAGATGTAACATTAGCCTTTACTCTCCAGAATCACACAGCACATGGGTTTAATTTCTTCACCTTGCCTATATGCCTTTTAACATTAGTTGTGTGTAGTTAGATTGGTACACCCCTGCCAGCCCCTATTTTACTAAGAATAGTACTCATATAATATCAGCTGAGGAAAGAACAGCTGTCACAAAAGCTATGGGCTCTACATGAGTGGAAATCTGGATGGTCTCTACATGCATCGTTACCAATGAGAAGCATCGAGGAAGAGGGTTGATGATGTGGGGGTGTTATGCTTTTTACACTTTTTAGGGGGTGATTGGAGTTTAGTTGGACAGGAAAGTTGAGAAAGACAGGAAATGAATCGAAAGAGAAAGATAGTGGGGGACTAAGATGGGAAAAAACAAAGAGTCCAGGAATCAAACCTGGATTTTCCTAGAGCTGTAAACTTATTCAATGTTCAAACTGATATTAGTAATTAAAACTTCAATTTCAAAAATGAGCCACAGAGCAAAGTATACCAGTCTAGTTTGAAATGTACTAGATTGTGTAACATCACCCTTTAGAGAATATTTGGGTCACAATCAGTGGAAATCTGTGATTTGGTCCAATGGTTCATGATGTGATACAGAAAAGCTGAAAGGATGGCCTCTACAAGCGCAATGTGAAGCATTGAGGAGGAAGGTTAAAGGTGTGTGGATGCTTTGCTTGTGATATTTTGGGGGTTTATTCAAAACTAGATGAGACACAAAGTCCAAAATTGGATTGAGATAGACGAGAAAGCAAAAAATAAGATTTATGTCACAGTATAAAAGACTTTTTTTACATAAATCAGAAGTATGTTTCATTATAAATCAGAAGTCAAGGAGAAAGCATCATCCCAGAGCACAAAACAACATCTAGTTATTCATTAAATGCAGGATAAGGGATTTCTGGAAGATAATTTACATGTG